TGTCCCTCTCCCCTACTCACCCCTCCTGTTTAACTTGGGATTCCCAAATGGAACTTTAACTCCTCCTGCAAACACTTTAAATCCAAAAACACCAGCAGGGGGCTCCCTTTCATCCAGTTGGGGTGGGGGGTGCTGGTTCTGCCACTGCAGCTAGGTCAGGTGAAGGGCCTGGGGGACCCCTGGAGCCCACTGCCTGCAGCTCCGGGCAGGCTTCCTGCGCTCCACTTGGCACCTGTTGTTCCAGTGCCAGGGGACTGGGGATCAAACGTACCCCACCATGCATGGAGCATCTGCTCTTCTATTTTGAAAAGGACCGTGGAACCCAACAAACAACACAGACTTGCTAACCTGCTGGCAGGACTAACCCAAACTCAGCCCTCTGATGGCTGATCAAAATTCCTTAGAGCTTTGCCCTCTCCCCAGGTTTGTTCTCTTGGGAGGTGCGCGGGAGGCAGACAGATTGAGATGCTGGGCCTCAATGTTCTCAGCGGCAGAAACCCTCCAGCACACACTGGGAGGCCGGGGAGGGCTCAGGGGATGAGAAGTATGGGTGGGCAAGAGCGGCCTTGGCCGAGATCCTCTGGCTGGGGTCATACTGCAGGAGTTGCTGGGAGGAGAGAAGAGGCGTAAAGGGGTTGAGCCTGGGTGCGGCCAGACCCGGGAGAGAAATTCCCCTCCCAGGCCCCAGCTAGAGGGCCCAGGCCCAGAACCACATGAAGCCACTTGCCTCCTAGCTCTGGAGCCAGTTCTGGACACTCCCAGAATCTAGGGACAAAGGGTTAGTTCTGCTGCAGCCTTATGAGTCAACAGTCTCCTTCAGGCAACTGAAGCCCAGTCATGCCCCTTCCTTGCTGAGACTTCCAGGTCCCGGCCTGCTTCTGGCTGAGAACACAGGGGTGTCCCGTGTGTGGGTGAGCAGGCCCCCAACCTCAGGTTTGGGCATACTTGAGGTGGAGCAGGAATACAAAGAGCAGAAGGAGAGGGAAGGAGGAGGTAACAAGACAAGGGACCGTGGAGTCTCTAAACCCACGTCACGGGGAAGCCAGGGTGGAGGAAGCCAGTGCAGTCCTGGTGGATAATATGCACAGACTTCTGGAGAGCTGGACACGCAGCCTGAAGATGAACTGCCTTCCTCTTGACTCCACCAGAGTAGTCAGAAAAGCAGCTCGAGGCTGGGACCAGTGGTGTGCGCCTATAGCAGCTTTGGGGGCTGAAGCAGGATTCAAGTCCAAGGTTATTCTGGCAACTTAGTAAGACTCTGTCTCAAAATAAATAAGAAAGGGCTGGGGATGTAACCTGATGGTAGAATGTTGGCCTAGCATGTATGAGGCCCTGGTTTGACCCCGGCACCGAAAAACAACAACAACAAAAAGTGGCTCAGAGGCTTTGTGGTCAAGAGGGATGGCTTTGGCTGAGGAGGCCTCTGGGCACTCTGGCCAGTCCAAGGGTCAAGGTGGTGCTATAAGAAGGATAAGCGAGGACAGTGGCAGGGTCCCAGGCAGCAGGAAACTGTCTGTTCTGAACAGCCTGTGTGAGGGCACTGGGGGAATACCACGGCAGGAGGAGGGGTGCCCCCCGCCCCCGGGGTAGCAGGCAACTGACATTAGCAGTGAGGTCCGCAGGGGGAGTGATCCAAAACGCGAGGCAGGGCTGGGATGTGGCTCAGTGCAGAGTGCTCGCCTAGCCTGAGCAGGCTCTGGGCTCAATCCCCAGGACCCCCAGAACAAAAAAACACACAAGCCAACTGGGGGAAGCACCAAGTGCTGTGGCCTAAGGAAAAAGCTCAACTAGAGGAGAGAAGGTTTAAACGGGAAGGTGAACCTTGGACTTATCACAAAGAGGCCTCTAGATGGGACAATCAATATGGCCTGGGACAAGCCAGGTGTGTACAAGGGCCAGGAAGGAGACCAGCCTGGACTCAGAAAGAGTGAGGGTTGCTGGGCACAGTAGCACACACTTAAAATCCGAGCTGAGGCAGGAGGACCGGAAGTTTGAGACAAGCCTTAGCAACTTGTCAAAAAGTGGAAAGAGGGCTAGGACTGTAGCTCAACGGCAGAGCGCTTGCCTAGCATGTGTAAGATACTGGGTTTGATTGTCAGCACCACATAAAAATAAACAAAGGCATGCTGTCCATCTACAAAAAATTTTAAAAATTTAAAAAAAAAATAGAAAGGGGGCTGGGGTTGGGGCTCAGTGGTAGAGTGCTTGCCTAGCATGCATGAGGCACTGGGTTCAATCCCCGGAACCACATAAAAATAAATAAAATAAAGGTATTGTGTCCACCCACAACTAAAAATAAATAAATAAATAAAATAGAAAGGACTGGGAATATAGCTCAATGGTAAAGTGCCCCTGGGCTCAGTCCTCCATACTGCCACCACCTCACCCCAAAAAAAGGAAGAATGAGGGTTATCCCAGCTACTTGGAAGGCTGGCAGGAGGACTACAAGTTTGAGGCCAGCCTCTAAGTGAGGCCCTGTCTCAAAAAAAGGGCTAGGAATACATTTCAGTGGCAGAGCACTTGCCTAGCATGTATGCAAGGTCCTGGGTTCAATTCCCAGTAATATACACACACCCCATAAAAGAAGAGGGTTACGTAAGAGGCTGGTTAACAAAAGAGACAGTCTGGTTGGAGCAGATGCTGGGGCTAGGAGGCATTTCTTGCCCACCAGGACCTACCATGAGCAGATCCTTGCCCTTGGGCTCCAGATTAGGCACAATTTCCTCCAACCCCTTCCTGGTCCACTTGGGGAAGCTGCCCTTATAGTCAGGCAGCTGGGTGACCCCTGGCCATGTGGCTTCACTGGGTGTCCCCAGGGTGCGAAAGATACGAAATAGTTGGTCAATTTCAGAGTCACCGGGAAACAGTGCTTTACGAGTCATCTGGAAAAGGGAAGAAGAGAAGGCGTGTGTTTGACAAAGTGTCATAATGAATCCGACGCCAGAGAGGTGGCCAGAACCAGGGAGGAACCTTTAGGATGTCATTCCCAGGGCTGTGCTAATCGTTCCAGCCCTTTCTGAATAAAGCTGGGTTCCTGGTCCTGTAGCCAGTCCTAGCCACCCCTCAATCCACCTCTAACAGAGGTATCAGTGAGCCCGGCCACCACCCCATAGGACACTGCCTATGCCTCCTTGGGACCAGGCTTGTCTCTCTCTCTCTCTCTCTCTCTACCATCTCTGCAAAGATGCAACCAATGCTCCAGACATCCACAGCTGTGGAATAAAACTTGCTGCCCAAGAGGATCTCCGGGGCACGATACCATAGTGTCACCACCTGTGGAGTCAAGAAAGAAATAACATAATTCAGGGTGGCTGAGAGCACAGGTGCCATCCTGTCGTTCCCTCCCCCTTGTCCCCCACTCTACCTCATGGGTATAGGTGCGCAGGGGCACCCCGAAGGCTCGAGCCAGGCCAAAGTCGGCCAGCTTGAGGGCTCCAAACTCATTGATGAGCAGATTCTGGGGCTTCAGGTCTCGGTGGATGACCCGATGAGAGTGGCAGAAATTCACTCCCTGCAGTAGCTGGAAGAGGTAGCTCTGCAGAAAGGAGCAGGAGGAGCCCCCTGAGCCTAGGTGGCTGGTGCGGGGCCGGGGCGGGGCGCGTGTGTGTATATGTGTGGCCGCCTTGCCCTTCTGTCTGTTCCTTGGCACCTTAACTAAGTGCAGGGGGAGCTCTGAGACTGGCATGGAGTCCATGTACTTCTTCAGGTCCTGGCTGAGGAACTCGAACACCAGGTACAGCTTCTTCTCGCTGTGCACCACATCCAGCAGCCTGGCGGGGAGATGGAAGTCAGGACGCCATCTTCCGGGTCCCGCCTTCCCCGGCTCCTTCCCCGGCTCACCTGACAATGTTGGGGTGCTTCAGTTCTTTGAGCAGGGAGATCTCCCTGATGGCCGTGCTGGGGACCCCCTCCATTTCCCTGCCGGAAAGGAGGGCATAGCCAATGGGTAAGAGCAGGAGTCATTTCTAGCCAGAGGGATCCACTTCTGTGGTCCTCACTCCCACAAGGATGACCTGTCCCGAGATGGGCACCCTGAAGCTTCACACAGCAGTGCCAGGGCAAAGACTGACCAGGGGACAGGGAGTAGGGACAAGGACAAGGGCTGCACCATGGTGGCAGTATGACTGGACAACGCCTGGAAAAGGGGTTGAGCGTGAACCCTTGAATAGAGGACATGGAAGGGGAGCGGGGGCACGGGGCAGGGGTTCCCATCATCCCAGCACTCACAAATCCAGCCTGATCTTCTTGAGTGCCACAAGCTGCCCAGTCTCTTTGTTCTTGGCCTTATAAACCACCCCATAGGTGCCCTCTCCAATCTTCTCTACCTTCTGGAACACATCCATGTCCGCAAAGCTGTCCAGGAAGAGAGACCATACCCCGGCATTCACACCCTGTGCCCGGCACCCTGCTGCCCGCCTCCCGCCTCCATGTAACACCCTGCCCGGCCCCAGCCTGTGTCCCTGCCCCCCCTGCACACTGCCTATTCTGCTTGGGAACCTGTCTCAGGGATGGCGCTGCCCCTCGCTGGGACACAACGCAGCCCCAGACCTTTTGCCCAGTGCCTGGCTACGGAATGCAGGAGGGCCCAAACTTCTTCTGCCTAAGTCCCTGTGTCAGTCCAGCCAAGCCCAGGTTCTGGGAGCCCAAGACTGCCCAGAAGGGCTGCCAGGGATGAGGGACAGTGGGAGGCAGAGGTCACAGGTTAGGGAGGGCTTCTGAAGCCATAGTCCTACTCTAGGCCACATGGTCAAGGGCCAGGGCCTAGGCTGGGCCTGTTTGGCCATGTTTAGCCTCCTTTGAGGGCAGAACCTTGGCAGGGGCAATCCCTGTGATTTCTGGGCCCCCCACCTGGCTCCTGGTCCCCCAAACCCTCCCCTCAGACACCCAGCCCAGAATTCACCAGAAGCCTGAGCGGCTGCAGCCTCACTGCCAAGTGGGTTGCCTGCTCCGCAGCTCCCCCTCCTGGTCCCTTCCAGCACAACACCACATGCACACACGGAGAGGTCATGCCCACCGGGCCTTTATTCGGGAGGATCTTCTGGAACCCTCTGTGACCCCATGCGAGGCATAGCCCCAGGGCCTTGGAGCGCCACTGTCTGGAGCCTCCTGGAGGGTAGGGGTGTCAGACCTTGACACCGGCTCCTAGGCTCTCATTTCTGGAACAATCCCAACATAGAGGAAGAGGCTGGATTGGCCACCCTGCCCCTCTACTCTCTGGCTCCAGTCAGACGCTGTCATTCAGGGAAGCGTCTACACTTCTGCAGTGGCTCTGGCAGCTCAAAGGTTTGGCCTCAGGAGTAGGTGGGGGGGCTGCTGGCGTCCTCACTTCCTATTGGCTGCTGCCTCTCTCTTGCTGGTAGAGCCGCTGCTCCAGGATGGCTTGTTCTAAGGAAGGCAGATTTATCCCTTCCACACAGGTCAGCAGCCGGGCCTTCACCACGTAACCGCCATCTGAAAGAAACACCAGGACACCGGCAGTGACCAGGATACACCCAACCCATGCTTCTGGGGATTTCCACTGGCTGGGTCCTGAGTTTTGACAGCTAGAGGTGGAGACAAGACAGCTGGCATGTGCAAGGCTGGCAATTTGTCCTCTTGGGCCTCAGAACTGTGGGCCCACGTGCACACAGCACACGCCTGGAACTTAGCCAGCATCCTGAACGTTTCATATTTGGGGAGGTGGGTTCTGGAAGATGGACCCTTGACTTCCCACCTTTGCCACATAATTCCTTGGCCTCCTTTGCTCCCCAGTGCCCAGGGTCAAGGAGGGGTCCCATCACCATCCTAGCTCTCCATGGGTCCCAAGGAAAAGGCCTCCTTGGTACCTGGCAACTGGAGACCAGGCAAAGAGAAACTCACGTTTAGTAAATACAAGGGACTGAGTTCAAGGCAAGATGGTCCTGAGAGGGGCAAGTCACCCAACCCAGAATGAGACTTGGAGCTACTAACACATGCAGTGGTGACCTGACACTTAATATCAATGTTCAGGTGACAGCACACAGGAAGGGCATTGGGGTTTACACTAACAGATGCCCATCTATTTTCAGGTGGACCAGTAGCTTACACCTGTAATCCCAGAGACTTGGGAGGCTAAGACAGAAGGATCCCAAGTTCAAGGCCAGCCTCAGCAATTTAGAGAGGTCCTCCGCATTTGAGTGAAATCATCTCAAAATAAAAAATAAAAAGGGTTGGGGATATAGCTCAGCCGTAAAGTACCCCAGCATTCAACCCCTTAATACCAAAAAAAGAAAGAAAAGAAAACAAAGAAAAAACACTTGTGTACTCTCTGCTCTTTGGACACTTTAATAAATACGTTCAATGTTCTGGGACATTATCCTGTCTTCTTTTGATGCACAGAAACTCTCTGATTATTACATAAAGACAAGCTTACTCTTCTTTCCAGTTCAGGCCACTCATCCATTTAACACTGCCTAGGGGAGAATTCAGTGTCCACTGTCTAAGAGGGGCCTGTGAGGTTGCCTGTATCAGCTTCCATCAGCCCAGCGCTGGGCACAGTCAAGGGAGGAATGGGTGTGGAGTTTGGGGATGTATCTCAGGGTAGAGCAATCGCCTGAGGCCCTGGTTTCTATCCTCAGCATGCGCGCGCGCGCGCACACACACACACACACACACACACACACACACACACACACCACACAGGAGCGGGTGCATTACAAAATCTGGGTCTACTGATGGGTGTAGATGATTGATTCTCACCACGCAGGCCTCTTCAGTCTGGTCTCTACCCTGATCAATCAAACAGTATTATTTTCCTATTTCCTCTGTTTTTTGTTTTGTTTTGTTTTGTTTTTGGTGGAACTGGGGATTGAACTCAGGGGCACTCTACCACTGGGCTACATCCCCAGCTCTTTTTATTTTGTTTATGTATTTATTTAAATTTTGGGTCAGGGTCTCACTAAGTTGCTGAGCCTGGTTTCAATCTTGTGATCCTCCTGCCTCAGCCTCCAGAGTTGCTGGGATCACAGGTCAGTGCCTAGCCTGCCTAATCTTTACCAGACAATGAGAGCCGGGCCCTCTCAGGACACCCACAGCCCACAGGCAGCTGCAGGTGTTCAGGACAACCGGGCAGAACAAGAACAAAAGCAGAGCACTTTCATTCACAGTTGGCATTGTTAAAATTTTCAAAATAAGGGCGAGGGGTCTATTCAGTGGCAGAGTGCTTGACTGGTGTGCGTTCAGGCCCTGGATTCCATCTCATCACTGAAAAACAAAACTCAAAATAGGATCCTATATCAAATATTTCCATACTTCCTGTATGAAGATTCTCTTAGGAGTCTGCCTAAATTTCATAGAATTTTCCATAGTGTATGCCTAGCAGCCATTTCCTCCCTGGGAAACCCAGACTTCTGTATCTATATTGCAAGATATGTTGCTTCTCCTGTGAATGAGAAAATGTATTAACTTGTGGGGGTGTAGTGGTCACACCTGTAATCCCAGCGACCCACGAACCTAAGGCAGGAGGAGCCAGCCTCTGCAATTGAGTGAGACCCTGCCTCAAAATAAAGAAATAAAAAATGAGCTGTTTGCATAGCTCAGTGGTAAAGCACCTCTGGTTTCAATCCTCAATACCATTAAAAAAAAAAAAAGCATTAACTAAGGAAGTGAGCTTTATGATAAACACAGGGACAAACTGGGCAAAACGTTATCCATCTGCAAAAGCCCAGAGTAAACAGAATGAGAAGAAGGGTGCTTGCAAAAGCCTGTGGGGTGGGAGAAGGGAAGAGCTCATGACTCACACAGCTGGAGAGATGGTCACTCAGGGGAATTTCTCCTTGCAAAGATAAAGAACTGAGAACAAAGAAGGTTGCAAAATACAGAATGCAGCGGGCTGGGATGTGGGAGGGGGACAGGGAAATAGGTGTCACGGAGGAAGTGAATCTGAAGGGAAGGAAGGTGGCTAGGCTAGGAGATGCCTCTTTGTTTTATGTTTAATGATCTTTGTCCCTGGGTTCAATCTCCAGTACCAAAAAAAAAAAAAAAAAAAAGTTTAATGATCTTAACTGACTTTAGGGAAGGCCCTGGAGCCCAGCCCAATGGAGCCCTGGTAAGGAGGAACCCTCTTCTGCTCAGCCTGGAGGGAAGGGGCTACGGAGGGGTGTGCATAATTTGAGGAGGGGGCTGCTGCTGTGGCCTCCATCAGCTGGGGCATAGAAGGAGAGGTAACTGGAGAGATGGGAAGGGAGGGGAAGCTGGGGGGGAGGTGGACCAGGACATCTGGAGGGACTTCCAGGCAGTGTGGAGGGGCCCAGAGAGAGAAGGGGTGCTGAAAGCAGGGCACCCCCCGTCCACGTCCACGGGGGCCTTAATCTGCACTCATCATCAGGGAGGGTGGGTGTCATCAGGCAGGAATGACAGCAGGCAAGGGCTGAAACCTCTGCCAGAAAAGTGGGGAGAGAGGCGGGAGCACACCCCGGAGTCCCGGGTCCACGGGTCCTGGCCGGCCAAAGAGCAAAGCTGTGGAAGGGAGCGAAGGGCAGGAAGGCACCGAGAGCAAAGTTTCAGTGGCAGAGGTAGAGCCGCCGGCAAAGACCAGGTCCAAGGTGCAGGAGGGGGTGGGTGTGCCACGCGGATCTGGAGCAGAGGTGAAGGGTGGCGCAACTGGCTGGCAGCAGGAGAGGGACAGGGGTGGCTCTGCGAGCCTGCAGGATCTGGCCCCACCTCTGGGTTTTGTAGGGTGTGTGTCGTGGGAGCCTGAACAGGCCCCAGGGCGAGGGCTGCGGGCCTGGGGAAAAGCCAGGTTTCAGCAAAGGCAAGAGCATAATAAGGGGTCGGAAAAGGAAGGCTTTGGAGGGCACAACAGGAAGTTTCCCAGTGCAGGGAAGAGGGCCAAGGGAAGAACAAGAACAGTGGGATTCAAATAAGTAAGCACGTGTGGGGTCCAGGCTGAGAGCTCCCGGTGCACCTGGCTCAGAGGGACAGCTCCTAGAGCTTCATGGGGTCACTATGGCTGATGACATCTGTGTGTTTCAGCATAGCTGGTAGAGAGGATTTTGAATATCCCATGTCAAAGAAAGGTTAAACGATTGAGGTGAGGAGTATGTCAACGACCCTGGTCTGACCATTACACATTGATACCTATCCTGAAATGTTGTCAGTGCACCTCATAAATACATATAATTACCATGAGTCAATTAAAAATACTTAAAACAAAAAGCTGGGTGTGGTGGCACGCACCTGTAATTCCAGCTTCTCTGCAAGCGGAGGCGGGAGGATCACAAGTTCAAGGCCAGACCCGTCAAGTTAGCAAACCCTTGTCTCAAAAATGAAAAATAAAAAGGAGCTGGACACAAGACGCACGCCTGTAATCTCAGCGGCTCGGGAGGCTGAGGCAAGAGGATTGCGAGTTCAAAGCCAGCCCCAGCAACTTGGCGAGGCGCTAAGCATCTCAGTGAGACCCTGGCTAATAAAATACAAAATAAGGCTGGGGAGGTGGCTCAGTGGCCGAGTGCCCCTGAGTTCAATCCCTGGTACAAACAAATAAATAAATAAATAAATAAGAAGTCTAGGGACATAGCTCAGTGGTAAAGAACCTCTGAGTTCAGTCCTAGCTAGCTCTAGGTGCAAAACTGTCAGGAAGGTGGTTTTAAGTGGCCTCTCCTTTGTCCCCAGATCCGTCAACCTGTACACAAAGCAGGTCCATGTTTGATTGACCTTTGTCTCCCCACAGGACTTTGGACCTGGCCCAGGGAGGTTTAAAGCAGCCACAGGGTGCCTACTCTGCCCGGGTTAGAGGTGAGGGCCGCCAGGGCCACACTCAGCCCACACGCCTCCTCATCCTTTCTTTAATGAGTTCCTAGAGCCAGCTGTGAGCGAGTAAGTGCACACCGCCTAGAAGATCAAACAAGAAACAGGGTACTGGCAACTCCCTTGAGCAAGTGGTGATGCAAAAAGTGAGACGCAACCTACAAGCCGGTGCCCCCTGAGGCGCTTCCTTCTCTGCCTGGGGCTTTGTGACATTCAGGGCTTTTGTTTCTGTTTTACAAGGGTGCTTCAGATGGGGTGCTGTTCCTGTGGTGTGACCCCCCGGGAAGCACTTGGTACTTCACTGATCCCTGATCCCCGATCCCCCGTCCTGCAACGCTGGATTGATGGGCTTCTCCTTCCGTTAAGACAACAAACATGTCAATCTTTACCTAATGGTTTTAGCAGCCAGCCATGATTGTTGCCTGGATTTATTATTTCATCAGGGATCTTAAAAA